AATGAATTAAAACTTACAGTCCGCTGACTCAACCACCACTAGTATTTTCTGACCCTCTGAGTACAATTCCCATAGCTTTCCTGGATTTTGTACTCATGCACCAAATCTCAGCTGTAGTTTTCAAAACTCTCCTCGATTGTGCTCTTCTACTGCAACTCACAACTTTATGAATTCGTCTATCTCTTATAGATTAACAAAGAACTCAGCGTTTTTCAACGACCAGAACTTCAATCACATTCCCTTGATTTTTAGAATTCGGACAGATATGTAGAAAGTAGCAGTTTCATATTTGGATTGTAGGTTTGATGTTTTTCACCGCTAAGAATCAATGACAGAACGAATGTTGAAAACTAAATTGATGAAGATAATCTAAAGAGAATGTGTTTTTCTCAATGTTCAACCTTGGGAAAAACGTTCAGAGACATTCTGTTATTTATATGTAGGTTAAGGAATGGATGAGCCAGATAAAAAGATTTAAAAATGAATTAAAATTTTTTCGGATAACCCTGTCGCTCGAGCGAGAGTTGGGCAACATGCTAGTGACAATGTTACCGTTTCCGACGCTTGAGCCAAGTCATGGCGACAGTCTAGCGACTTGCGGCGTTGTTTTCCATTCTCAAACTCTAAACCTAATATAACACAATTTTTGCTATTTGCACGTTACTCCTTGACATTTATAACATATTAATTTTAGTCCATTTTGTTCACAAACTTGCCAATTACATCAAATACCTAACAATTCCCAAGTTGAAGTATTTTCAATCCGAGAAGGCCCAACTAACTCAGATATTCATGTCCTTTTTTTACATGGCTTAAGCTGTAGTTCTTTTGCTTTTCAAAGTATTCTCAAATCTTTAGGACTAAAAAATGTCCATGCTATGGCTATTGATCTGCCGGGGTCTGGCTTTTCCGATAAATCAATGGTTGTGATTGAAGAGAATGTGGGTGGTAATGTGGTTTTTGGGAATATGGGGAACGTGTACGGTAATATTAAGAAAAATGGTCTATTTTGGAGGTTTGATTAACTAATTGAACAATGCTATGTCAATCATGAGGAAATTGAGAATCGTGTATTCAAGAAAGAGAGTGTTAAGGCTATTGAGTTGGGGGGATGAAGAGATGGGGAGCGTGTTAGGCCAAGTAGTGGATTCGATGGGACTAGTACAGGTGGACTTGCTCCTTCATCATTCAGCACTAGGACTGAATGCCAATTGTATTTCTGAAAATCAGGGATCGATTAGAAGCGTTGTGTTTCTTGATGCTACACCAAGTGAGACGACATTGCCACTTTGGGCATTGGGGATGCCTTTGGTGAGAGAGATCACACTAAGGTTTAGGTTTGTGTTTACGTCGGTACTTGCAAAGTTTTGTATGGGATCGATTGGTTGGCCGGAGGATGAGGCACATAGGATTCTATTGAAGGGGAGTGATGGGAAAAAGTTGAATTTTAGCTTTGATATAGCTGAATGGAACAGTTTCAATGGGGTGAAAGATCTTCCAATGCGAGTGATTTGGTCGGGTGGATTTCCAAAGAATGGAGTGATAAGGGACGACAAGTTGCTGATGTACTTTCCCCAGGTGACACTTGTCACACATTCTGGTGGTCGGTGCCCCCAGGTGCGCATCAACTATTATAATTCTTTTCAGTTAGATTTTCATGACAGTTATTTTGGGAGTTGTTCGTTATGTTATCTTGATGGTTGGTCTAGAATGGTTTCATTCCCTGCAGTGTGACATTCTTACCACATTAGACAAATTTGTTTTTCGACTTTGGATTGCTTTATGGTAGATAACTTTAGGTGCCACTGAGTTCTTTAAAGCTGGGTTACCGAGATTTTTTTTTGGTACAATGGTTCATAGAAAGTTGAGTCATAGTTTACTACATAGAAGGATTCACTGCCTCTCCTAGGTACAAGTTAAGCACGAAAATTGTTTATCTTCTTGATTTATGGGGCAAACAATTTGTTAGTGATTACGTTTTGGAAATTTCTTTGAGGTATAATATAAGAAAAAATTTCGAGACTTTGGGAGCAAAGCCGTATATTGAGCAGAAAAAGGCAAGAACTTACATCGAAGAAGAAGAATTCACCGTTCGGGACCGATTTTGAAAGCTTGAAGTGAAGATTTTAAGATTTTCTTCATATTTATATGATTCGGGTGATGACTTTCTTTTATTTTCTGTGTAATTCTTATATTAATATGATATGCTAAGTTTAATTGTATTGGATGGATGATGAAACTCTTTGATTTTCAATTTTTAATTAAAGACTTGTTATTTTTAGTTTAATTCTCGCATTGTGTTTCCATAAACATGCTTATTCATATTATTTTAATACTTGCGCACCATTAGGGCAATAAGTTGTTTATTCATAGTATTGAAAAATTCATGATAAGTAGAACACTGTTTATAGAACATGTGAATAATAAATATCAGGAATAATATTTATGAAATGTTCGATCGTATATAATAATCCTAAACTTCAATGCATGTTTGTTATATGAAAGTGGACTAGGAACATGATCGTGTCGTGATGAACATATGTTTATTATATCTTGGAAAAGAATAGTAAATAAAAGTGAAATTATTGATTGTCACAACTGCAAAGATTGAATTAACTATCACAAGTTGAGAATTGAAATTAAGAGTTGATTAATTGAGTCGGAAATCCAATACATTCCTCACGTTTAATTTAAACGAATATTCATTGCTCACATAGTTATAAAACTTAGTTAGATATAAACCAAACATATTTTGTCACAATCACCAATTTATATATATCGAATACATTAGAATTGAACTTTACTCCCTGTGGGACGATAACTC